GTTTCAAATCATTTAGCTGAATCCATTGCTCGAGTTGGTAGGGGATATACACAATACGTGTCCGACTTAGAACAAATGAACAGAAAAGCTTTGGCCATGCTTAGGAATTCATTAAATCCGCCTATCTCAGATTATAAAACTACATGGACCCTTGAGTCTAATGAAGAATCTCAGAATAGTGGCCTCAAAGTTAAAAAAGTTCCGTTGAAAATATTGGCGTTCGTTTAATAATTTATTGTATTTTAGAAAAAGATGTTAAACCGTGTGACAAAATCAAATTAAAATCAAATTCTCAAGAGCCTTTTCAAGATCGTTTATACGGATCAAAATTTCACACACTTGCGGCCAGAAAACTTATTCAAGAAATTGAAGATGGAAATTATTATCCTAATCATGCAAACGATAAAGAGTTTATTCGTAAAAAAATTGTGGATCTGGCAAAATCTTATAATCTTAGTTCCAAATATACTAGGTAATGCTTTTTTTTTTGTTTCATAAAATTTTCATGATTCTACTAATTGTTTATTATTTTGTTCAAAATATGCAGCTTCATTGCAGTTGAAACGCCAATTATTGATGATCATGAAGAAGCTGAAGCACTCATAGTCGTTGAAGAATCAGCCTCTCCTGAGAAATGCAAAAAAATCGTCGCGTGTCAAAGTGAAGATGGTTGTATTGAATTAAGTGATACAGTTTGCGATGAATTGGATGCACCTAAGGAAGAAATTATTAATACAATTAAACCAAAGCTTAAAAATAAGAAGGTTCAATTACCCAATCTTCCATCAATTCTTGGAACTGCTATTAATCCTTCATACCTCAAGAAATTTGCACCTAGTTATAAAGATGAATGGAGTGATAAATATGATAAAGCTCGTAAATATCTCAGACAAAATAGGAGATAAAGATGCAGAAAAAGAATTTGAAGAATATGCGGACAATTATGTAGTTGATAATTGCGTTATGAAGGTGATTAAACATAAAAAGGGAAGTGCAGTCGCTACGGTGCGGGAGACTGCCACACCAGAAATTGTGATGACATAATGTCTAATCAAGATAATGACGGGTCTTTTGAAGTTTGTGAGACAGCTCGTAAAAAAAATACGTTCCAGCTATTAAAGTTGCAACTAAAGTGAAAAAAGGTACACAAAATAAGAAGCTTAGCATTTGTATTGATAAAACTACAGATAAAGTGATTGAAGAAAAGAAAACGGATGTAATTGATTTGAAGAAACCGAAAGTAGGGACTGTCTAAAGCCGTGTGCGTCTGGTAAAATCTTATAATCTTAGTTCCAAATATACTAGGTAATGCTTTTTTTTTTGTTTCATAAAATTTTCATGATTCTACTAATTGTTTATTATTTTGTTCAAAATATGCAGCTTCATTGCAGTTGAAACGCCAATTATTGATGATCATGAAGAAGCTGAAGCACTCATAGTCGTTGAAGAATCAGCCTCTCCTGAGAAATGCAAAAAAATCGTCGCGTGTCAAAGTGAAGATGGTTGTATTGAATTAAGTGATACAGTTTGCGATGAATTGGATGCACCTAAGGAAGAAATTATTAATACAATTAAACCAAAGCTTAAAAATAAGAAGGTTCAATTACCCAATCTTCCATCAATTCTTGGAACTGCTATTAATCCTTCATACCTCAAGAAATTTGCACCTAGTTATAAAGATGAATGGAGTGATAAATATGATAAAGCTCGTAAATATCTCAGACAAAATAGGAGATAAAGATGCAGAAAAAGAATTTGAAGAATATGCGGACAATTATGTAGTTGATAATTGCGTTATGAAGGTGATTAAACATAAAAAGGGAAGTGCAGTCGCTACGGTGCGGGAGACTGCCACACCAGAAATTGTGATGACATAATGTCTAATCAAGATAATGACGGGTCTTTTGAAGTTTGTGAGACAGCTCGTAAAAAAAATACGTTCCAGCTATTAAAGTTGCAACTAAAGTGAAAAAAGGTACACAAAATAAGAAGCTTAGCATTTGTATTGATAAAACTACAGATAAAGTGATTGAAGAAAAGAAAACGGATGTAATTGATTTGAAGAAACCGAAAGTAGGGACTGTCTAAAGCCGTGTGCGTCTGGTATAAATTTGGAAATGATCTTCATGCTACATAAATTATCTTATTGATCCTTATATAAACAACTTACCATTACTGCATCAAAAA